TCCACAGTGCGTGGACCTGCAAGAAGACCACACTTTTCTCGGGCCATTATCTTCGTAACCGTTCAACTTTGGACATAGGTGTTTTGTGTTATATCAGCATACTTTAACATAAGGAACACCCTCCCGAAGTTTGGTCCATTCCTCCTGGGACACCATATATAATTATTTGGCGTGTGTGTGCGATAATAAGTGTTTCACCGGCAAGTTGACATCCTTCTGCTTCTTCCCCTACTCAGCTGACTTTATGGTGAGTTACAATGCATAAATATTTTTCTCACTGCCATTTTTTTCAAACCAACATCATTAAAATCAATTTAATAATACAATAATCAATTTTATGCTGAATAACATGAGTTTTTGGTGATCAGCATGGGATATGTCAATGAAAATTAGCACAAATTAATTTAATGATGTTGGTCTGAGGAAACTACAAAATTCTACAAGATTTAATTAGTCCAGTGATTGATAACTAATTTAAATGTAATTTTATGTTTGTCAACATGCCACACCATATACATAAGTGTACTAATACTCTTTATGATTATGCTATAATTAATTGCTAATATTATGTTAGCTTAATGCATGAACTTTAACAAAACTGGAAAGGTATTTATGACTAAATTTGTTGGGACTGGGCCCTCATCTTATAAAAAAAGAACTTAACTGGGCCGCGGTCTCATAAAGGTTGAGAACCACTGATCTAGACAATCAGCTCAAAGATGGCGGTAAGGTTGTCAGCCTTACGCGCCAGTCACCCTTTACTCCCCAGGAAAATTATTTAATTGATTTCTGGAAGTAAGTAAGTAAGCATGCAAATTGATGTAGCACTAATGTACTGGGCTTGTATTTGGGAGGTGTTAAACTTGAGTTTCTGTGAAGCTACCAAATATTATGACCTGTTTCTGTTACTGTCTCAGCATCTTCCTGCCTTGGGATACTGAAAATTCTTGTTCATGTTATCAGGGCTAAGAAAATTTGAGTGATAAACTTCTTGGGTATGAAGGAGGGATGAAACGCATCACACAATAATATTTGCTTTAATTATTTTATTTATATTCTTCGCTTGTACAATTTATACTTGTACGAGGGGGGACCCAAAAATAACTGGAAACGACCTGTTGCGCGCCCATGCTTTGTAGTTACGAGTTGTGCTCCTAGGTGGTGTTAGCTGGGGGTCTCCCGCGACTGTTAGTGAGCTGGCGTCAGTCTGAGTTAAGTGGTTTGTCTGTGGTGCTCTGTTGTGTGCGTTCCTGTTTCAACCCTTTGGCGATTAGTGAGATGGCCGACCAGAAGGAACAATTCTTTTAAGAAATTCTGGATCGTTCTGCACTTCACTCTTCAAGTCGCGGCAAACATTCACGCGGTTTTCTCTTTGGTCATCTCCGAGCAAGCGAGGAACAAATTTTGCAGACACCCGTCTCATGTGCAAACCTTCGGTTAAAATTCGCTGGACCGTGCTCCATGAGATGTTCGTTTCCTCAGAAAGTTGGTCAATGGTCTTTCGACGATCTTCATCAATTGCACGTTTGATTTTGGCAATGTTTTCGTCATTTCTTCCTGTCGAAGGACGCCCGGGGCGTGGCATGTCTTCTGTTGACATGTTGCCAGATTTGAAACGGGAAAACCACTCGTAGACCTGTGATTTCCCCAAAGCATCATCATTAAAGGCTTGCCGAAGCATCCCAACAGTCTCGGCTGCAGTTTTCCCTAACAGAAAGCAAAATTTCACGCACACTCTTTGTTCCTTCTGGTCAGCCATCTCACTAATCGCCAAAGGGTTGAAACAGGAACGCACACAACAGAGCACCACAGACAAACCACTTAACTCAGACTGACGCCAGCTCACTAACAGTCGCGGGAGACCCCCAGCTAACACCACCTAGCAGCACAACTCGTAACTACAAAGCATGCGCGCGCAACAGGTCGTTTCCGGTTATTTTTGGGTCCCCCTTCGTATGTTCATTTTTCTAACATTTTGTGCAATTTTTGCACAAGTGCTTAAAGTGAACACACAGTGGAGGCAGTTTCTGTCTGTCCATGGCATCGGATCAAACTTAAGAATCTTCTAAGAAACAAATCATAGTATATAAAATTTGATGTATGAGTAATATAAATTGTAGTTGTTGTTAAGATGCATAACTTAGATTTGAAACAATTTGAAAAATGACGAACTTTTATAAAAATACAATGAAAATATTATATGTGGGATGAATATCATGGCAAAGTTGCATTTATATATGCAGCACAGTGGAGCTGTTAGCCTTCGTTTATTTTTCTTAATATTCTTGAACAAGCTGTATAGTTCCGTATTTAGTTAGTAAGTGACTCTCATAATTTAACTGTGTTTTGCTGGAAGGATGAAAGTTAATGTGATTCAACATGTAGCATTCATTCAAGGTATAAGTACTGTGTTACAAGTGTGGTGACAAGGTAGAAACCACAAGTAAATATAGAAGATTATTAAAGTAAAGGAGTTAAGTTCATTTTGAAAGAGAGATTTTTATCAGTGAGATTACACATTTAATGGTATGAAGGTGATTTGTATCAGCAATAAATAAACATGGGAGGCATTGAGGTGTGTGAAACCATTAAGAATGCATTTGTAAAATATGTGTATCCTAAATATGAGTACAGTTTTCTTCTCTTGTTGCAAAAGACGAACTTTGTCAGATATGCTGGTGGATGGACAGTCTTGTGAATTTTGTCTTATGTGTTCTCTTGTCTGAAACTACACCTTATTACCCTTTACAGAGTGACCTTCTGAACATGACAATGTATGATTTGGTTTTTGAAGAAGATCAGTCAGAGTTCTACAATGTTCTGCTCAGTCCTGCCAACACTCTAGATGCCATGAATGACAGTGATGCAAAAGGTTTGTGTTATGTAGCTGGAGAAATATTGTTGGTGGCTAATGCTGCAGTCATGACCTTTTGTTATGGTATTTTCCACCTCGCATCCCAATATTGCTCTCTTACGTGTCATTCTGTTAGTAAAATTTCACACTTCAGGAAGTAATTTTTACCAGTCCTTCACCATTCTTGCAAAGTACACAGTTTGGTGAATCAGTTATACAGTTAAATAACCCTGTAATTTCTTTGCTTCTAAGAGGCAAAGTAACCATAAAACATGAACAAATCATGAAATACACAGAGATGTAGTACAGGAAACAAGAAATGTGTTGCCACCTTGCCTTTTTATCTTATGTATTTTATTCAACAATGAAGATTCGATAATCTAATATGATGCTCAAAATTGAAGATGTTGTGAGTAATGAAATTTGGTGCACGCACGTACGCCCACACACACACCTGCGTACATAGACTTTCATGCACACACACTCTTCTGTTTGCAAAAGTTACTCATGTATTTCTCTCTGAAAAGTAGCCCCTTTCCAGTGATCTAAATTAATGCAACACCAAGATTCATAGAATTACTGGGTTTCTGGACTTTTTCTATTGTCTGGAATTCTAGGTAATAGAGGATACGTTTCAGAGACTGGGTCTGTTTCCCTCTTGAAGTGAGGAAGGAAGACATCTACTCAGCTGGTCCCCATAGAAAGAGCTAATCTCAATCACAGATTCCCTCACCTGAAGAGGGAAACAGATCCAGTTTCTGAAACGTCGTGCCCTCTATTATCTAGAATTCCGGACAATGGGAAAGGTCCAAAAATCCAGTAATTCTGTGTGTCATCCACCATCATCAGAACCCTTTAGAATCTACTGGGTGTTCCTAAAAGAATGGTGGGGTTTCAGATACATATATATTTCGTAATTCTTACTGAAGAGGGAAACAGATCCAGTTTCTGAAACGTCGTGCCCTCTATTATCTAGAATTCTGGACAGTGGAAAAAGTCCAAAAATCCAGTAATTCTGTGTGTCATCCACCATCATCAGAACCCTTTAGAATCTAGTGGGTGTTCCTAAAAGAATGGTGGGGTTTCAGATACATATATATTTCGTAATTCTTACCGTGTACAATCATAACCTGTGTCAATCGGAAGCTTAACTGTCCAGATTTTATGTGCATCCATCAAAGTGCCACTATGTGCGCACATTTCATTACCCGGCACACATTAATGTGATAGTCGAATTCCTGCCACACCAGCTGCAGCATTTCAGGTGTGATGGTCTCCACAGCACGATTGATTCTGTTTCGGAGATCCTGGAGCGATTGGGGCAATGGGGGTACATAAACCATGTCCTTCACAATCCCCCACAAGAAGAAATCACATGGAGTTAAGACTGGGGTGGCCACCGGAGAAGGGGGGCATCTTCACCTGCAGCACGTCCAGTCCATCATTGTGGAAGGACCAGATTAAACAAACCTCTCACATTGTGATGGAAATGTGGGGGAGCGCTGTCCTGTTGGAAAATGTAATCATTGGAATCATTGGCCAGTTGTGGAAACAACCAGTTTTCCAGCATGTCTTGGTAGGTGTTACCAGTCACTGTTGCTTCAGCGAAGAAAAAAGACCCATACACTTTTTGTTGAGAGACAGCACAGAAGATGTTAATTTTCAGAGAATCACGCTCGTGCTCAATCTGTGCATGTCGATTTCGTGTCCCCCCGATACATACATTGTGTCGGTTAACTATCCCACTCAGATGAAAAGTGGGTTCATCACTGAAAATGAGACATTCCACGAAACCATCGTCTTCCATCTTCTCATGAATGTCCTCAGCAAAATGAGTTCCAGCTACCTTGTCTTGTGGTTTCAGAGCTTCTAACAGCTGCAACTTGTATGGTTTCATTAATATCCGCTTACTCAGCACCCTCCACAACATCGTCATTGGCATTTGCAATTCTCTGCTTCCTCTACATAATGATTTTTTTGGGCTTCCCTGATACGTCACCCTCACTCTTCCCATGTCTGTATGCGGCACACATGACCACCCAGAACTCTTGCCTTTACAGAGACATCCACTGTCCACAAACTGCCAGTACCATCTGCGAATGTTGTTTTCATGTGGCGCCTCCTTCTGGAAATGTACACTAAATTCACGGCACACTGTAACGATGAATTTAGACATGTCAAATCGCAGCACGCAATAGGCCTTTTCCTGTTGGGTTGTCATCTTACATTTCACACCGCCTAATTGTTTGAAATGGAACTAGGAAAGACCACCATATACAAAATGAAAATTTGAGAGCCGCGTTATGAATCTGTATATGTTTTGCTTTTCATCACTAAAACTAATGGAGATATACGGCAATGAAATCCCACAAAGATTAATTTTCCCATTCATGTACTCTATGTTATATTATAAGTACCTCCTGTAGCTTGGCAGACATTTAGAAATGACCATTACTCTTAAGGTAACTGTGTTGCTGCTACTTATAGGAGATAATGCAGGCTGCCCAGGCCACAGGACAAGCACTTGGTTGATATGCAGTCATATCTTGAAACAGGCCTCTGTAATACTATTGAAAGCCTGAAATGCTGGATGTACTTTATAAGAAGAAATTAAAATGTGTAACTTCCCTATACTGTTTTATTGCAGAGAAATGATCCCTCCTTACGTCCACAAGTTTCTAAAATTCCTGTAGATTTGGTGGTTTCACCTGTAATCCAACTTATTTTTTCTCTCAATATTTACTTTCAGAATTGTTTATTCATTTGTATGCATTACAAAACCAGCATGAGACATTTCTAGCAACAAACATTTCATATCACCAAGAAGAAATTCAAATTGTTAAGTATTTTGGTATAAATTAGGTAGACTGTGACAAATGCATTCTGTTGCAATTACCAAGCAGGGCAATGGTATTTTTGAAAAAGGAATATGTTGTTATTGTAACAGATTTGCTCAAGGCATTTCTAGGCAACGGCCCTGTAAACATGATCCAGCGCGCAACAATAGAAGATGTGTCTCAATGGATGAATGTTATAGCTTATTGCTAGGTAACAGTCAACGTGCCAATGAACTCGCTGGCTAGGAATCGCATGATTTGTGTATGATGAAATCCTGTTGTGGCTTAGATTAGTGCAGAGTGCAGTACAGTTTAGTGCAGTGTAGTTAAGAGTCAGTTGTAAGAGTGTGGCTCTGAAGAGAAGAATTTATGTGTAATATTTGGAGTGGGTAATTCAGTGAAACTGTTATAGTTCCTGTGTTGAGATCCGTTGCCTGTGAAATGGTGAACTGGAAAGTGTGTAAGTCAGTGACAGCGCTGTATTCATTGTAATTAAGAGAAATTATAACCGAATTACTAATAAATCCAATCATCCTAACTAGAACCTGTTATTTTTGACATGTGTACCCCCATACACATGACATTAAAGCACTGTTTAATATTTTTGGCCAAGTATGGATTGCTTTCACTTCCATCCTTTAGAAGAAACGTGATTGCATTACAACCCAATATAAAGAAAATGGAAAGTTTGATTTATATGGGTGGCATCTTTCAAGATACCATATGCCTGAAAGACTTCCTATTTCTTTCAAAACTCTGGATAACTCGTAACCGGTCTGAGAAGTAAATACTGAGTAATTTAATTACATTAACAAAATAGGTAGAAGTGTTCTTCTTATGAAATGCTGTTTTTGCATGTTCTTCACAAAAAAAGAGTCTCTGACATTATGCATGAACATACCGATTTTTCTATTACAGAAAATCGTGTCACTTTCACATGTCATTTAAAACGAGGTGGTCTTCATGTCCAAGAAGAAGATACATTTGAATTAGTGCAATTTGTGGGATATTTTCGTAAGTTTGGAGACTGATATTATATTAGAAATGACTGTTGTTTTAAAAATAGCTGTTTACCTGGTGAGGTGTGGTTTACCCATACCTAACACTGCCTCCACAGGGTGAATTTTTGCATGCTCCTTCTCATTCTGTGATACATCATTTGAACCTTTATGGCACTGGGCAAGCGGGGATGCATGAATTGGTGGATAACTTTAGACATTGCCCATGCTTCAGTGGTTATTGATGTTCACCTTATGTGACAACTGTGAATTGCATGGTGTTTTATTTATTAAATACTGCTGTTGCTGTTCCTCCTTTTCCTCTGTCTTCACCATTGCTGCCACAACCACCATTGCAGCCGCCATCACCACCCCCACCACCTCCACTGTCACCTTGCCCACCTTCTCCTTTTCTGCCTTTTCCTTCACTTTCACCTTCAGCACCATCTCCCGCCTCAACACCTCCTCCTCCAGCTTTTCCTGTACCAGCCTCCCTTCCACCATCTTCCTCTTCCCCACCTCCTCTCCCCATCAGCATTATTGCTGTCATTGCTTCTGCCATAGCCACCACCTGAGATATCAGCTTGTTGTGATTGTTGTTATTATCAGTTTCTGCAGCTGCAGCAGTGCCAGCAAAATAGAATTAGCAGAAATCCAGTTTGAGAGTAGTTGATATTAATTCACAGTCAGATCTAGAAGTAGGGTTAGCTTTATGTGCATTGTGTTGAGTTCCGGAGTGCTTTCTTTGACAGCTGTATTCAGGGCGTTATGACATCATAAGTGTTGCCCCATCAGCAGTATATGTAGGAATGAATTCCTGAACATGTATTCCATTAGCCTCCTCTGTAATATGTATTGGTGATTTCCTTGTGCTTTTCTGCTTATCTGGAGTGTCTGCCATGTTCTGAACTGTATCATCTGTCTAGTTGTGAAAAGCCATTTCTACCCCTGTGCACATGTAAGAAAATATTTTCAGTTATGCATGACTTGTGTAGTACTTCCTGTCCAGTGGTTCTCTTATGCAGAGAATGATTTTTTTCAGGTCCTAATGCGGAACCTCTTGAAGCGGATAACTTTATTTCTAGTAGCAGCCATTTTAGCAGTTTCTCTGGTGAAGCAGATTCACGGTATGTATGTGACATGTGACAGAATTGTTTTCAAAGTGATAGTGTTTTATTTAAACTTCTTGTCACATGTCAGATGTTTGCATTTGTTTCAGGTTGGTATTTGTGGGTACAGGTAGACTTCATGTGCCCTTGTTGATTCGTGAAATGTCTGTGGTTGATTCCGCAAAAAGTGAATTTACTTCACGTCATAGTCTGGAATGGAAGTTCCTGTTTTTGGACCACAGGTTTGTAAATTTTAGGTCTAAATATATTTGAGTAGCTTTCTTTTATTCCTTAAAGAAAGAAAGTAGGCTTATTTGATCTCATGCTATCATCATGAACCCAATGATTGATTTTCACAAAACTTGATATTTACATCATGCCATTGGATCTTATCCCAACCTCATAGTTTTTAATTTAATACAGCAGGGTAGACATATTGACTTGTTTATTTGGGCATGACACTGGTATCACATAATTTAGGGCCCTGAAATGATGTATGGAAATAGATTCTTAAAAATTATAGAAGTTTTATTAAGGTAATTTTTTTTTTTTTTTTTTTTTTTTTTTTTTTTAANGTTGCATGAAATATGTACTGTATAAGGCATTTGGTTTGATGGCATTTAACATAGTCATAATCTGTATTATTAAAAATTATGCAAAGAAATAGTTCGTCAAATTGTGTAATTATTAATTGACAATTCCTGCTAACCGCACCAAAGAATTTGAAATTTGAATGAAAGTGTGTGTCACAGTTTCTGCCCTATATTGCTTGTTTTTTGTTCTGTTAAGGTATCTTATATAGTCAGTGAATTGTTTGATTTTTTCAGAGCTCCACCAATTATTGGTTATCTACCTTTTGAAGTTCTTGGAACATCTGGATATGATTATTATCATGTAGATGACCTAGAGAAGGTAGTCACGTGTCACGAAGCCTGTAAGTTGTCAGTTTATAATTTAACTTTTTTTTTCTTCCTTATACTGCATATCTGGTTTTAGAAAAAGTAAGGGAGGGACTCGCAGTGAGTAAATGAAAAATCCACAGATTTCATGTGAAGAGGTTCAGTCTCAAGAAATTAAATGAGGTAGACAATTCTGTATTTCAGCATCCTGTTGCAGTTGTTTAACTTAACATCCATGTATTTATCATCCATCAATATTGCAACACTTATTTATTCACTACTTAATTTTAATTTTAGTTTAACATTATACTCATACACTTTGACACTACATGTTTCGGCCCAAATGGCCATCTTCAGGTGTCTTGTTATGTTACAAATATTTTATTTAATTATGGTAAAACTGCTACACTGTCTTAGTCCGTGTTAAAATTACATGTAGTTCTCTTTTCAAGATGAAACCAGATAAAATCCTTTAAAGTTATTGTACCCGCGCTATTTTGGTGCATTTTATTTCACCTCACATGGGGTGTCGTGCATTCATAAATGTATGTCTGTCCAGGGTGTTTTGTTTCGGCAGCTTGCCCCTCACGTTCATAGCCTACTTTTCAGTTATGACTGTCATATGCCCCTGGTTTGCATGTTTCCTCCACAGCGTGTGGTGTTGTCTTTACTAGTCAACACTAGTTTTAACATAATTAAAAAAATATTTGTAACATATCAAAACACCTGAAGATGGTCGTTTGGGGCCGAAACATATAGTGTCAAAGTGTATAATGTTAAACTAAAATTAAAATTAAGTAGTGAATAAACAAGTGTTGCAATATTGACAGACGATAAATACATGGACGTGAGGTAGACAGTTAAGAGCAGTATTAGGAACCTCAAATAGGTCACAGCTTTGGAAGACTTAGATAATGATGGTAATATTAATAGGGCTTGGGGAACTGTTAGAGAGAATATAAAAATTTCAGCCAAAGAGAGTCTAGGTTATTATGAATTGAAGAAGTGTAAGCCATAGTTCGTTGAAGGATGCTCAAAATGATAGACCACAGGATCCAAGGCACATTGCAGTGGTTACAGGATTCAAGCCAAATTGCAGTGATTACAGGATCCAAGCGAAATAAATGGGGAGAATCTGAACAATATAAGACATGAAATAGCAGGCATTTCAGGAATAAGAAGCAAGAATATCTGAAAGACAAACTTGATGTGCTTGCAACAAACAGCAGTGTTGTGGAGTCCCATGTTTGTGTCTACCAGATTACTGGCCCCTCCTGTCTGATATTGTTCATGGTTTCTCCCCATCTCTCCAGTGAATGTGCAGAAAGTACTTTAAAGTAGGCCACAGCTGTCTTTTTCTAAATTCTTGCCTGTTCACCTTTTATGTATATCATTCACATGTATATATCCTCTCAGAAGCATTATGTAGCCTAAGAATAAATAAAAAATATTAGTGTTATAAGTTATAAGATGTGAAAAGTAAGTTGAAATGAAGTATTACACTGTTGTTAATTTTAAATGACATGAAAGTTTGTGATTCTTTGTTTAACTTTTAAGAATGGAGATGAAATGAATTGTGCTAGTTCAAACAAGAGTTGATGACCTTTACTTTCAGTGATGCAGAAGGGTGAGGGAACATCTTGCCATTATCGGTTCCTTACAAAGGGCCAGCAGTGGATCTGGTTGCAGACAAGGTTCTACATTACCTATCACCAGTGGAACTCCAAGCCTGAATTTATTGTTTGTACACATCACGTTGTTAGGTATGGTTACATGTTAGAATTAAGGGTGCATAATGTTGGTATGTTTTCAGTACATTTATATATTGTGTCATGCTTATTCACGCTATGCAGTGCTATTTAATCAGTTCCACATTTTCCCACATATTTTCACTTCATTCTTTTGAACAAAATCTGTGTACCGAAGAATATCTGCAGCATGTTTATACCACATAAGTAAGTAAGTAAGTAAGTAAGTAAGTAAGTAAGTAAGTAAGTAAGTAAAGCTATCCCTGTAACAGGCCGTGGTGGCCCATAGGGTTGTGAGATGTTGAGGTTCCCAGATTTTCGAGACAGTTGGCTCAAAGATGGCAGTAAGGTTGTGAGCCTTACACACCGGCCACTCTTTATTATTATTTATTTAATTAATTCCTGGTACTCATTTCTGTTAGAGGCTGAGTCAAACCCGGGGCCATAGTGCGGCTGGAAGGATTAGATAAATTAGTAGAACAAAATATATTGTAATTACTTGGAGTTCTGACAATCAAAATTTGTTGTTTTTTTAACAAAAATTATACAAACATATATGGTTCCACTTATGGTGTATATGGTAGATATTCATCGGTACATAGTAAAAATATATTAAAATAAAATAAAAATATGGAATTTGGCTTTTTTGTCGCTATATGCGAACATTAAATGACTGGCAGAAAATCATCCCACAAGCACTGGGCAAGAGCTAATCATTAAATCATCTTGTTATTCAGCGTGGTAGTTTATTTTTTTGTGGCGCTACAGCCCCCCAATTTGGGCCTAGGCCTACCTCCACGAAATTCTCTGTTTTACTTCAGTTTACTAGATCTTACACATTCGGTAGGACTCCTTGGGTGAGTGATCAGCTCGTCGCCAGGCCTCTACCTGTAGACAAACACAGAAAAACGCACACAAACATCCATGCCCTGAGTGGGATTCGAACCCACGATCCCGGCTTCTGAGCGAGCGAAGACAGTGCATGCCTTAGGCCGCTCGGCTACCGTGACCAGCATATTCAGCGTGGTATAGTCTGAGATACTCACAACGTCCTGAATATGGATAAATACAATAGTAAAACAATTAACCTTTGGGTTCCTTAAAGTAGGAAATTTGTAGAGCAGTTGAGTAATTGCCAGCTCTTCAAGGAATACCCTGTACTGTAGAGTATGTTATTTGTGGACATTGTTATTACATTTTATTTCTGTAAGTGAGAACTTATACTACACTTTGGTCTTGGATCTAGTTTTCATTGGTTTCATTTCTAATGTTGTCATGTAACAAACTTTCTTGGTCTTTTAATTTTCTTGTATAGGGAGTATAAATTTGTTGGTTTTTATAATATCGTGACATAACACCTGAAAAGTAAAACAGTGGAACCAGGGAGACAGCCATTGCTAGGGAGCGGTTTGGTAAACACATCATCTTCGCAAGAGCAGTGACATGCTACAGTAGGAAAGCTGCGGGAAGCGGTGTTGCCATGTGGTCTGGCGCCAGGCAGACAGGCAGCACATGATAGCATGTCACCCACAACAACAGAGGAATGTGTTTTTGGTTTGGAGAATCCAAACACAAGCCAGTCAGTCTTAGTTGAGAGTCTAGGGAGAAGTATAGAGAGAGTCTGCAGGCAGACAGACAGACAGACAGACCAGTCTGAGTCTGAGGCTGTTGTGAGACAGTTGCCTCTAGTGGAGGTGTGGGAGGTGGAGCAGCCCCCATTGATGTAATCATTTCATAGCAATGCTGAATTAGTTGTGCGACAGTCACTGGCCAGTAAGGACGTCAACATGGAAGTTGAGGGAGCTATGTGACTAGAAGCTGTTACCAGACAACCGGTTAAGACACAGCAAACAAAGAAGACTTAGTGTGTGACTTAGCGATAGTGCTAGCGGCCTACGTAGTCTAGAGGTAACGTTCCCACCTCATGACTCATGGTACGCGGGTTCAAATACCCGGCGGAGGTCGTCGAATTTTTAAGGGCGGAAAAATTCAGGGAACAAGTCCTCCGGGAGGGACTTTAAGCTGTGTGTCCCGTGTCGTAACTTTACGGCACGTAAAAGAACCTCATATCCCCAAAGGGGATCACTGAGCCAAATTCCAGGACGTTTCCCGCCCAACAATAGTCTCTAAGGCCTCCGATAGATGGGGGAAGCATTATAGACACCGCTAAGCAAGTGGCCGAACTCGCTTGCTCGGCGGGACTGATGGTATGCATCATTTATCAGTAGGGTATAGAGACTGGTAGAATATCATAGAGGGAAGCACAATAGATCAAACTGGTCGCGGTGCATGGGGAAACCCACCCTCTCTAAATAATAATAATAATAATAATAATAGCGATAGTGCTATAGTTACTTGTAGTTACAATCCATAAGTCTTCCCTAAGTCCAATTACCGATCCAAATCCTGTCTGTTGTTACTGAGTCACATGACAATATGCTTTGAAATCCATTGTAGGTTTCAGGTACTCTGAATACCAGAATTAGTTTTGTTTTTACTGTGTGTTTCTCTGTACTCATTCTTTTATGTGGGGTTGCTAGCTATGTGGACGTGATGAAGCAGTCACAGAAGGCACCAGAGGATGTATCAGAATTGAGGAGTCAAGATAACAGCCAAGACAATGTTGTTACTGGTCATTTGTCTTACAGACACCAGCAGTCATCACAGCCTACATCTCAGAGTGGTCTTGCTTCCAGTCCGTGGTCTTCCAAGTCATCAGGTATGTCAGGATTATTCATGTAGCATGCGGAAAGTGAGCTTCATAAGTGTATTGAAATGGCTTCAGAACAAGAGTGGAAAAATATACTCCAGCTGAAATACACATGACAGTCACACTCTTTGTTTGTTACATACTTGTATGGAAAGAATGTATAATGAACTGACTTCTATTATAGTGAAGTGTTCTCGCTTGCCAGCTGTGTTATTTTTGATTGGAATAATCATGTTTTGAAACTGATTTAATTTCTGTTACCATGGACAAATGTGAAAGTTGGGGAAAGTGAGCTGTTTTGTGTGTGTGTGTGTGCGCGTGCGCATGTGTGAATTGATATTGACATTGCCATTTTCTGTATGGTATTATCTGGTTTACAGTCAATATATTGTGACAAGTTATGAATACCTCTTTCATGCACATGATATTTCGCTGTACTTGCACCATTTATTGATGTCAGTGATTGCATTGGATAACTAAAAACAAATATTTTTCTCAAATATTTGAACATGCATTTGTATTTCTTCAAGAAAATAAATTTTGTTGGGGACTAAGTAATTTTAGGTTATTTGAGCTATTGGAAATATAGTTTAAAGGTTTCGCACAGTGGTATATAACCAAAAGTAGGTCAGTTATTTTGTACATAGCTGATTATCTTGAGTTTTTTAAAACCATGACATTTCATTAAGTGTTTGTTTTTCCATCATAAGGTGTAAGGAGGAAAGAAGTTCCCAGTCTTTTGGGCCTACCAGAGAGAGTAGGCTGTCACTGAACACCACAAGAAATTCCAGGCACAGAATATATCCTGTTAACATAAAAATTTTAAATAAAAATTAAGAACAAAACCGAAATACTCTGATGTTAGTAGTGAAGTCATAATAGTCAATGTAAGCAAATCTAAGAAAGGATAGCAGATAATCTTCTGTTAATATCAAACTTCATCAATCAGTCAATCAGTCAGTTTATTTGTTCCAAGAATCCATATTTGGAGATACAACCTCTGGGTATAGAACAAGTCAGTTACTACATATTAAAATAACATGCATATCATACATGAGTCAGCAATACTATGAAACTTAATTACCTACAGATTTCATACAAATCAGTCATATAATACATTGTCCCACCTTCAACAATTCAATACCAAAAGAAACCCAACGTCTGACATTTTCTTTTATTGATTAAGTGAGGATAAGATATTTGTCATAACATAAAACCATAACACACTCACTTCAGAATTTTAGGGACATAAATTCATCAATGGAATAAATGGAATGTTTCAACAGCAAGGATTTTAAATTCCTCTTAAAAGAGTTAATTTTTTTTCTAATTTTATTTGCTCAGGGACCTTATTATACAAGGTGATACCCATATTTATATCGCATTTCTTAAGAAGAACTGTATTGCAATGATTTACATGTAAATTTAGTTTTCTTTGCATATTGTAATTATGGATGTCCACATTTTTTGCCATAAAGTCTTTATATTTTTTAATAAAACATATCACTTCAAAAATGTATATCGCTGCCAATGTTAAAATATTATAATCATTAAAAATTTGTCAGGATGACGTTCGATTATTAACCCCGCTGATAATTTGAAGGACCTTTTTTCAGTTTAAAGTGTTTTGTCACATTCGTTATCCCCTCCCCATAATATGAATGTATAAGGGGTGGGCCTCCTTGGCCCTTGCACCGTGACCACAGTGATCTGTTGTCCCTCCCCGTAATATAATACCGTATCGCAGACAGGACTCAAAATTTGAAAAGTAGATATTTCTTATCATATTTTGGATCAACGTTTCTTTTAATGTTTTTATCATATAAACTACTTTGCATAGCTTAGCTCTTAAAAATCGAGCGTGGGCACCCCATTTGAGGTTTTCTGTGATGTAAATACCTATTAGTTCTGATTTATAGGTAAATTCTCAAGTTTTAAAATTTATTTGTGGTCTTAATGGAACTCTAATTTTTTTTGATGAAATAACATAGCAAATGTTTTTTCAAAATTTATTATGTTCATCAAAGAACAATGCCAGTAAGAATGACAAAACCATAAGAAAAGAAAACTAAAATCCCCTGTAGAATTTTAACCTTACCTATAGGGCTTTTCAGTTTTGTTCTTATGTGGTTTTGTTACTAATTTTTGCTGGCAATTTTATCCAAATATTTTCTGAAACAAACCCTGAGTTTCTTTCAAAAACCATGCCCTCCTTTACTCTTGGTGACAGAAAGGAAAGTAGTTTCCAAAATGTTTTTCTAAAAGAAATTTAGATGGTGAACAAGTCCAGAATAGTAGCCATAGTTATGTTAATTTAGTTTAATATACTTTATTTATATATTGGTTATTTGGGTGGTAGAGTGTTGCGGTTAATTGTGCTAAGAGTATTAGTACGTTGTTGCCACATTTTAAAGTCCTCCCTTTGATTCTGAAAAAGGAAACACAAAACTTAATGCAGTATGATTTTATGCAGTAAGGCCTTCATGTTCTTAATAATGATTATAACACACTGTTTTCAATATTAGGGCTCAGTCTTTAGAATTGTCTATGTTATTTATAAAGTCTCTGATATGTCTTTGAATTTGAACAGCTGGTAAGCCATCAAGGTTAGCAGAAGTACATTCTCCACAAGGTGGAAATGGGTTGAAAGCGCGGACACGACCCTCAGTTCATCGTGGTGCTGGGTCAGATTCTACATCCATGTCTGCAGATTCTCCAAGCTCTCGCCATTCTGAATTCACACAACGCAGTACTGTGAGTAACACTCATGGTGTGATAGGTGGCCTGTTATGCTAGAGGTCCTTGAATTATGTTTGTTGCATCATGTTATTTAATAATAATTTAATGACCTCTGAAAAATTTGGCTACCCTTGCTCTAACATCTCTAATATTAATATGCGTAGCCTTATTCATATTTATGTGTGTGTGTGTGTGTGTGTACAGATGTGTTACCTCAAATTTTCTACACCTAGATCTCTGCAAAACATTTGTAGTAGGAAGACAGTTCTTGGATCAGACACTTCCAAATTTTTGCTGATTTGTTTGTTGTTTTATAAATTACCTTCAGTGTTCTCTTGTTCAGGCCCATGAACTTCTGATGTTTGCTTGTATCCTTACAGGGAAGTACAGGATTTTACGAAAGGGATTTTGGGTTTTGGGAGATAGAACTGCTAAAGAGTTGTTATATAGCAGTGGGACTCAAATGATTAGTTGCTCAAAACAATGAATTTAATCATCTTTATTTGCTGCTTTAAAACCTTTGCAAGTCATACATCAGAATTTGCAAAATTCAGTATTGCTGAGATTGCAACATTCCACTTGAGCCAAAAGTAACAGTGGTCAGAATCCAAAGGAAGTAATAAAGGACTTCAAGCAACCACTGCCATGCCTATTTGTCTATCTTGAATTTGTCTTCGGTTGAGAATTTTGTGATGCATGTATTCATTATACCTCCTAATAATTTTTTGTTGACATTTTAATAGAAAATTTGTTGGTACATATTATTTATGGTTAGTTATCACCTGAACTTCATAACTTGTACTACTCTTCTCCAAGTATAATTAGAATTATCAAGTCAAGGAGGATAAGTTGGGCAGGACATGTAGCATGAATGGGGGAGATGAGGAATGCATATAGGATATTGGTGGGAAAGCCAGAAAGAAAGAGACTACTGGGAAGACCAAGTTGCAGGTGGGTGGACAATATTAAAATGGATCTTAGAGAGATAGGATGGGATGGTATTGATTGGATTGATCTGGCTCAGGATAGGGACAGTGAAGGGCTCTTGTGAACATGGTAATGAACCTTCAGGTTCCATAAAATGCTGGGACATTCTTGAGTAGCTGCAGAATTGGTGGCTCCTCCAGAAGGGCTCAGCTCCATGAGTAAGTAAGTAAGTAAGTAAGTAAGTTATTACCTGAAGGTATCCCTGTAATAGGCTCTGGAGGCCCATAGGGTTGTGAGATGTTGAGGTTCCTACATTTTCTGGACAATCAGCTTGTAGATAGCAGCAAGGTTGTCAGCCCTACATGCTGGCTGCCCTTTACCCCCAAGAACATTCCAAGAATATTCCTGGTACTCACTTCTGTTAGAGGCTGAGTCGACCCCAGGGCCATAGTGCTGCTGGAAGGATTAGATCAATTGAAAAAATCCAGTGACCTCATCAAGACTTGAATCCGTGACCTTCCGGCTTGTAGCATAGCGCCCCAACCAACTACTTTTTTTTATCGCATGAAATGTATGGTCTTCAAGGTCCTTGGTGCTTAAAGTGAATTCTGTTCTTATATCTCCTGTCTTATAAAACAATGTATTCTTTCAGCGCTCAAGAACTAATGTGGTTGCACCTGTCCTTAATAAGCCAGAACTGACGATGGCTCAGCCACAGCAGGTGACACCACCTACTACTACAAAATTCCTGAAGCCACAGCAGGAGTATGTGGCAGTACCAGTTCCTGTTCAGCCCATCCTTGCAGCTGCAGGCTTTCCAGGCACTGTTGTAGCATCTCTACCACCTCCCTCTGAGGTTTGACTCTTGTATTTGTACTAATACAGTATTTTGATTTAAGGCATTGGGATTAATCAGCCTGTTTCTGAAAGTTGTTTTGCTGTGGGTCCTTTATATGGCAAATGGGCTTCACTTCCTCTACTGTATTACTGAAATATATTTTACCTTACTTGATCATTGTTATCATCAGCATCCATTGATATTGATGCTAGAGTGGTTCAGCTCATGAGAAAGCTTACGTCAGTTTTTCCTCGTCTTCTCCTAGCATTGTTTTCATATATACAGGCTGGTGGATGAAAAGTGTCCAGTTACTTCTTTTTCCTTACAGTCTCTCTCTTTAGGTTTCCTACCCGCTCTTTTCTCTCTCCTTGATGTGTTTCATTACCTTGGTAAACCAGCCATTGCCACATCCCAGAAGATGGCATTCTTCACTTGCGGTATTATTTTTTCCACCAAAATCCTATGGATAAAATTTGGGGCAGAAGCAAAAAAAAAAGGGGGGGGTAAAAGTATCCCTGTAACAGGCCATGGAGGCCCATAAGGTTGTGAGATGTCGAGGTTCCCACATTTTCTAGACATTTGACTCATAGATGGCGGCAAGGTTGTCAGCCTTACTCAGCGGCCACCCTTTACCCCCAAGAACATTCCAAGAATATTCCTGGTATTTAGGTTCATAAAGTTAACGAAGAGTCCAGATACCAATTTAAGGAAAATCTATTTCTCCAGAGCAGAGTTATTCATATGAACAGACAGTGTACTTGAAGTACTGAGTGGATTTCTGAACACACCTGTAATTACTTTGTCTGCCTCATGCTGTAGCTTGTTCATCAGCCCCTTGTAATGACGACAGCACAAAGCCAAATCCAGGAGCAGCTGCAGAGAAAACACGAAGAATTACAGCGGCTGATAGTGCAGCAGCAGGAGGAACTGCAGCGAGTGTCAGAGCAGCTTTTGATGGCTCGGTACGGGCTGTTGTCACCCATACATCTCAATGTGACCTTGCCTTATACAGCAGCTGCAGGGCCAGTCATTAGCAGCACTACATCTACGCTCGGATCCACACATCAGCAGTATCAGACACAATCAGGGACACCTGTTTGTCTGCCTGTCCCAACTGTGTCATCGGATATATCATTACATGAACATTCTTCTCTGGCGGTTACCAGTGTTGCCTCTCGTCCTCTTGTCCAAACGACGTCTGTTATGGTACAACCACACCAGGTAAAGAGGTTTGTTCTTTTAGTACAAATTAGATAATACATCAAGCACCAGTATGCAGTATCACTTTGTTGTCTTCTGGCATGCATCAGATTTCTGTAAGTTTCAAATTGTTAACAGTGAATGTCCATTGTATTACTCATCGACTTCTTGTAGGTACTGTGGTGTTGTAATAGTTCAGATATTTCTCATCTAAATATAATATGAGAACAGAGATATCAGAATTGAAGTTGAACCAAACCAGAATGAAAATGGATATAGGTTACAACATTTGATGTGAGTGTAGATAATAAGAAATTAGAGATAGTGGCAACAGCCTTGAGCATAGGAAATGAAGTATTTTTCCACATAGTGAACATAAAAAATGAGAGATTTATGATATCAGTCTGTATTCCTTGTCCTGTTATTTCAGTTAACATTTTAATGCTTTTCCCACACTGTCACTGATTTTAAATCAGTGATTCTCCAGATGTTGCTTTGCCTGTTTACAAGGATGACAGTATGCAAGCAGAAGTGGAAACGGTGGTTGAAATAATAAGGCACTAACTTGAACGGGCAGGAGACAGAAAATTTCACCCTACAATATCATAAGTGTCTCAGTCTTCATGGGGGCTATGTAAGAGAATAGTTCTTGAGTCATACAATGACATTGTATTATCCATATTGAGGATACAGTGAATCATCTCAAGGTATATGTCTTATGAACTTACTTTCATGCCATTCATCATACGAAAATGTAAGTTAACATATTGACTTTTTGGTCATTCAGATGTGTTTATTTTTAGGTTAACCTTCAAGCGCATGCTGCAACTGAGGAAGTGATTCCCTTCCAGCTATCACAGCAGCAAGCCCAGCTGTTGTTCACTTCTCCAAATTCAACAGTACAGCACAACCAGTGATGAAGTAGTCAGTTAGTCTTCCCCCCTGCAACATCTTTTCCTTTGAGGGGGGGATGTGACATTGAATTTGCTGTACCACTGCAGTCAACTTTATTGATATGGGTCTGTATAGACCGGTAGTCTAGACTCTACACAGCTTGGATTGTCTGCATGATTACAGGCTGAATTGTGGTGACCCGGCCCCACTGTGTGCTGTCATGTGTGGAGAAGTACTGGTCTGTACCTGCAGAACTTAACCAATCCTTTGTAACTGTACTGAATGTCATAGTTGAGTTGTTGGCACTCCTGTTATTTTAGCTAAGTCTTGTATTCTGTTCTTGCCTTGGAGGTGGGTTATCTTGATTGAGAAATTTTGTGGTTTTCCTCAGCCTTTCCAAGCTGCTAGAATAACACCTTGATGTAGGCTATGACTGCTTTCTTGCACAGCCTTCTCAATTAATCATTTACATTCATTCTGACATTCAGTGCCGTATAACCTGTACCGTTCTAAAAACATCATATAACCCAAGAACCACAAGACAGTATATTTGTATCTGTCAACCTAACAACTCAGGCAAAGTAATAACAAAGGTTATTTACATTAATGTTAATCACATTATGTTTTGACCCCTATTGGGTCATCATCAGGTGCATCTGTGTGTACTTAGATGCTGAATATTTTTTTCAATATGGATCCATATTTTTCATCATATTTGACCATATGATTATGTGATTATAGCTTAGTAGTGAACCTCTGGTTTGTTTATTCCTTGGTTTTAAACCATGTTGGTATAAAATTGTATTAAATTAAATTGAAGTTAGTTTAAAATTAATTTAAAATTCATTAAGATTAAAATTAAAAGAATTTTAATACTACACCCTATTCTGTATGGGTTTGTATTAAATTGTTAAGTTATGTGTTTATGAATAAATAGTTCAAAATGTTTATAAATGCCTGTTTGACCATTCTGTTGGTACACTGTCTATCCCTGTCTTGATTCTTCTTTGGTATTGTGGGTATGATATAGTTGGGGGCCAAGTTATGATGTTATGGGTCTCTTGCAACTCACGTTTGTACCTGCTGCCTCATTATTTATACCATATCAGAGAGTATACAGGGTTTGTCTGGAAAGTAATGCAGTTAAGTTCATAAAAAAATGTATTCAAGATATCGTTACAAACGTTTAAAATTCTTCAAAGTACTCCCCTTGGGCATCCACACACTTTTGCCAGCGACTTTTCCATGCACGATACGCATCCTGGAAGGCGTCGACTGGGACCTCGTTTAGAGCTTTTGTCATGGCGGTGTGGATCGCTTCAATGGTTCCAAAACGGGTTTCTTCCAGGGCGGTCTTGATCCTCGGGAGCAAAAAGAAGTCTGCTGGAGCCAGATCAGGACTGTAGGAGGGCTGGGGCAACCTTGCCAAGGTGTGCTTGGCCAGAAACTCCCGGATGCGCAGAGCAGTGTGGCTGGGAGCATTTCCACATGGGCAAATTGTCTGCAACGATGTCGTGCACAGTGGTTTTCGGAATACTGAGAGTCTCTGCTATCATCCGAACACTCATTCGACGATCGGTATTTAAAAGATCATGAACACGAGACACATTTTTGTCACTTTTGCTGGTTGATGGCCATCCAGAGCGGGGGTCATCATCCACCTCTTCCCGGCCATTTTTAAACAACTTCAACCACTTGGAGACTTGAGAATAGGAGGGAGCAGAGACCCTGTAGGCTTCCTGAATCATTTGGTCGGTGTTGGTGAGGCTTTTGTTCAGTTTAGCACAGAATTTGATCGCATAACTTTGTTCAATAGTTTTCTCCATTGCGTGTCATGACACAGGCACTAACAGGAGGGTCACGGAAACAGCGATCCTGACGCTCCCAGAGCTCAGAGCAGACCGAGCTTGGAAGCGTTGTGAAACTAAGAGTCCCATCCCCCTTTTCCAACCAGTCTCAACGCACTGCGACCAGGAGGAGCAGCAGCAGGAAAAAACAAATTGCATTACTTTCCGGACAAACCGTGTATCTCAACCTATGATGATGTGTATGATCACATTGTTCTGTAACACTAATATGACTGCATTAGTTGTGTATAACTCTGTTGTTTTATAAATTTTTCTTCTAATTTGTACTTACCACTTTATGATATGTAGTGCAGCTCACATCTTGTTCTGTATTTGGTTGTTGAGACTCTGTCAAAGTTATCTTACATTTGGTACTGTGATCATTGTGTTGGGTGGGTCGTATGGGATGAAAGGTGGATGGGGGGAGGGTAGGAGGTGGGTAGGGTTGTTGGTAGTAAGAGGTAATGGAAGGGGCGTGGTTAATTGATGGTATTAATTTTTCTTGGTGAGTACATTTTTAGAACAGTGTCAAATATAGGGTTGTTTACATTTACATGTGTCATTCATTTATAGATTAATGTAAATAACCTTTGTTATTACTTTTACTTGAATTGTTATGTTGGTGGTTACAAATATGTTATTTTGAATGACACACAACAGGATGTAACACGTAAAGATCCAAGAACCATTTCTTCCTTTGTATTCATGGGGACCCAGGTCTGATTCTTTATTCAGAAGACAGCTGCCCCACCTGTCAGATTTCTGTGTTTCCTCAAATTCTCCAGGCAGTTCGTGGGATGATGCTTTAAAATCAGCCATGAGTACTTCTCTCGACATCCTTCCTAATTTGTAATTCATGATCGCCTTCCCATTTGACACCATATAACCTCTACAGCTGAAACAATCTTTAGTCCTTTAGCTGATCCCGCTGACATATCTGATACTGTTCCTGTCTTGTATGAGTTCTCTCTCTCATTATTAGCCTTTGTCCAATAATATTACTGTTTCACTGTGCCACAGCTGATTTCATGTCTACCACTTGGACATTTATTACCTAACCAACATAACTCTGCAGCTAGTAAGGGGAAAGAATGGCATTGACAGTGGCCTGGGATAGTTTGAAGGGGCAGTGAAGGTAGGGAGGGTTCATCTGCAAACTGTAAAGAGATACAAAGGCATATAAAGCTTATAAAACAATCCTGAAAATAAAGTTATCATTGAAAGTAAGCAGTTCTGCATAAAAGCATGGTTTCACCTTATCTCTTTGCTTAACTTCATATGTGTGTGCCAGATATCCTGTCATCCTCACTGCTAGCATAGCTGCTGTTTTCATTTCACTTGTATATCCCAACTGACACTTTCTCCATATCACTTCTCCAGTATTTTTGCAGTTGTTGCACATGATCTCACGTGTCTTCATGCTTATAATGTCACAGATTTTATAGTGTCTGCCACCCTTCCCTTAACAGTATTCCATGTGTACTCACCAGGACTTAAATTGCAGTTGCATTATGTCTTATACACTTAATCACTTGGTTGAGGTCAGTGAAGTTTTACCTGTTTTAATAGTTTTTGTTGAGACATTTGTCCATAGTTTCAGTAATGTCTGTGAATCAGTTCTGGATGTCAGTTTTTCTTGAAGCTTGTATAGGTAACCTACCTTGTTGTGGTATGGTGTGATATTCATAGCAATCAATCTGTTTGGTGGTAAATGTGGTATAAGCCTTTCTCTTTTCTTTCTCTTTCTCTTTTCAGTCTTTGACTTTACCTTGAACACTGAAGGAGTTCTGTGTGTAGGTACTTTTACCACCATCTGACAGTTATGATTTCTTGGCCAGGGCTGTCATCTTTCCTTATGCCAAATACATTATCGCTTTACCCGTACCTATGTAGTGCTTTTTGAGGGTGATCTATAGTTCTTTGAAATATGTGACTGTTTTGGGAGTGTATCATTCTGTTTCTCCCATTGTCTTAAGGTGTCTAGTTATGCAAGCTTCAGTATTATTTCTTTCCATCAGCACATATGTTGTTACATTCCTTGAATAGAAAGCACAAATAATTTATAATTTTTCATAATGTTTATGTCCTTTGAAAATAATTTCATTCATTGCTGTGAAATGGATTTTCCTCAGTGTAGGTACTTCTTCACTGTGAAGGATTAATGAATAATGTTGCTGAGCCCAGTTCAATATAATTTATCCAGTGAAGCTTTTAGGGTGGATGTTTTCCTTTCATTACCTCTCATTGGTTTAGCTAGTAGCCCTAGTTATTTTGCTTTCTTTCCTGATCATGCAGATTGTCCCTTCAGAAACACTGATATGGACTGAAAATGTTGCAGAAAGAACTGCAGTTGAAGAATGTTAAACAGCAAATATTTTTGTCTTCATCACACTCCTGTATTATGGTGTTTAATTCACTGCTCTTTACTAAGAGTCATTTTACTTGAAGGAAGAACCATGTTCCACTTCCACTGTTTATAATGAACAAATGAATTTACTTTACTATTGTTTGCAACGAAATTACTGACCCTCTGACTGTGCATAGAGTATTATGTAAGATAAGGTAAGGAGAAGGAGAGAGAATTTGTTCACATTTCTCCACATGCACATTATGTCTGGTGGGTAGTGAGGGACCAAAATATTTCAATTTATTCCTTCTTTATAGTAAGGAGTGCTTGGAAAAATATATACAGGTATTTACAAAGATTTTGCAAATGAGAAAATGACTCTGGAATTGTGTTGTGGGTGTATCATTAAAGTAATCGTGTTTCAACATAAACTCTCTACTAGTCACACAATGAACTTGAAAACAGTACGTAGTAGATCACAGCATTGTATTCTTGTGGACAGGCTCATAATTACAAAAGTACAAATTACTTTTTAACTATGGAAGTTGTCCATAATGTATATGGTTACAGTGTGTTGTGTGAAAAATGTTGGCAGTTTATACAGAGTTACTATAGATTAAGCATACACTTTTAAAAATTTATTTTTAGTAAATTAATTTTCTTCCATATTAGTATCAACTGAAACAGAAACTGGAATTGTTATTCTGTGTTGGAAGGCGATTTAGTTTAAGAAGACACTTTGCAAGGCACTTCTAGAAGATGAATTGATTATGAAAACCATAAAACATGACTCCCAGCATTTCAAGATCTTAACTCTTGTGAACTTCATCTGAGATTTGAAAGATGTGGTAACCCATTCTTACCAACTGATACTGATGAAACAGTGTATTTATGAAGCTTTTCATCAATAAAACAGGACAATTTCAAACAAGTTCTTTATCACCTGAATGTTGGCAGTTTTACCAGTCAAGCTGATTCTTCTTGAGTCATGTTCAAATGTTTGTGTTGCAGTTTCCATTGATGTAGCTTCTAGGTATGTTAATGGGTGCAAAGCAAAATTTTAAAAGTGTGTACTTCATTACTAATAACCTGTATTGTACTGGATGAAAGATATTACATGGTTTATGAGAGGCAATAGAAATTTAGTGGATTATTTTTGTAACAGAAGTATCCTGATGGAAAAGTTTGCTGTGTACAAAAGACTAGGATGTTAAAACTTTGTGTTCTGTAACATTCTTGTGAATATATCCTGTTTTGTCACATGTGCTTACTATTCATTTCTTTATGATGCCCTTTCAGTTTCTTTCTCTTGAAATGCTTTGCAGCTTGACATTCTTGCATTGCATAAATATGTTATATATAGTTGTTGAGAATTTATTTGATGTTATGGTTTTTTTAATGCTAGTGGGGTGGGACTAAGTCCCTTGTACTGTGGCCACTTCTGGCCTATTGTACCAGCCCCAGATGATAGGTGAGGGTGATTGTGGAGCAATTGGTGGAATGAAGATTGGCAGGGGAAACCAAAATACTCGGAGATAACCTGCCCCTGTTCCACTTTGTCCACCACAAATCCCACTTGACCAGACCCGGGATCGAACCCGGGCCGCCGTGGTGGGAAGCCAGCTACTAACCACTTGAGCTATGGCGTGGCCACCGATGTTATAGTTACTTGAAGTAGCACACAGGAGCTTATTTCTGTACTTTCCACTAATTGAGCATTGAATGTCTTTATGCCTGAAGTAGAGGCCTTGGAGGCCCATAGGGTTGTGAGATGTTGAGGTTCCCACATTTTCTAGACAATCGGTTCATAGATGGCGGTAAGGTTGTCAGTCCTACGCGCCGGCTGCCCTTTACCCCCAAGAATATTCCTAGTACTCATTTCTGTTAGAGGCTGAGTCGACCGCAGGGCAATAGTGCGGCTTGAAGGATTAGGTAAATTGAAAAAAATCCAATGACCTCATCGGGATTCGATCCCATGACCTTCCAGCGTGTAGCATAGTGCTTCAACCAACTATGCTACTGTGTGACCCTGCAGTACATCTAAATATTAAAAAAAAAATCAGTTTCTACCTCACAGAAAATTTGTAAATATACTCTGAACAACCTGCAGAGATTTTTTTAAGGTGTACTGTGCATATATATTAGTGTCTTCATAGTTAAAGTCCCTGTTCGAGAATCCATTTAATTTGAGGTGATGCATATAACTCTCAGTCACTTTTCTGTTGCTTACAGTGTCTAACTCCTTAAGATGTCATGACTTTGCAGCAAAGAAGCAATCACAATTTTATAAGCAAAAAAGCATATTTTTTTCATGTTAAATAGGCAGGAAGCACTATGAATAAAATCATACAGGTCATAAATTGTCTTTATTTGGAGGGGAGTAATATATTCTGTATTGTTCAGATTCTTTTTATAGTTTGAGACGACCTTGGTCCCATTCACCTCAGACTATTAAGACTGTCCTGTAGTAATCACCATGCTTTGAAAGTTTAAACTATGTCTCAATAAGGGTGCCTCAATTTTAATTCCCTGCTGGCCTTATTTTTCTAAAAGAACACTCTGAAATTTCTTTCATAAGGCAGGAAAGATCATTTTGCTTATTTCTAATGGTATCCGATAAATTATTTCATAATGGGATAATTCGATAAGGGAGAAATAATTGTGTTCAGGGACTGTAAGATGAGTGGGAATGTAGCACACATGAGAGAAATGAGAAGTTGATGCAGACACTGGTCACAACAACAAACCTCCAAGTACATCAGGACACAAATCCAGTTTCTGCAGTAATTAAATTATTTTTCTTAGAGAAAACATCTATATTGAAGATTAACTACAACACAAGGTGTCACTGGTGTAGGATTTGAGGTTTCTGCAGTGGTGAATATTCAGATTGTGGTCTCAGATGTTGTGACACCACGCAATCTTGTTGGTGGGTACTGACATTTGGGAGGAGCCTCAAAATGCTTTATATTCCTAAAATGGGGGCAGAAGTTCCTCTGAAACGTCCACCTATAAGATTGCATGGTGTCACACCCCAGAAGACAACAATCTGAAGTCATCATTAACATTGAATAAGGTACTGTAGAGTTCATAGAGTTTGTCCATTTCAGTAGCCATTCATTGCAAACATGAAAGTAGATGTGGTATATATTTACAAAGAGTATACAAAACAGTATTAAACATAAATATCTCTAGGAGCAATTGTGTAAGTATTTTTTGTCATGCACTCTTTCAGTTAAGAGGTTTCCCACTAAACAACTTACCATCCCATATCAGGGTTCTTCAAAATTAAAGGAAAAAAATATTAGTATGATGTACCCTTCTTCATTCACATGACAATTAATGCATCTCATTATGGTGAAAACATTTGCTGTTGAAATTTAAATTTTTTGCATCTTTGTTATGCATGATGCAATTAGATAAACAAATACAACAACTGTAGATGCACTTTACAGTGTTCTTGTGAAAAACTGATGACAACTTTTGACTAGTGATTTATAATATATCTTCAAGGTGTTGGAATGTACTGCTGTAGTATCTTACAGATGTATGACTTACATGAAAAGTTTTTTAATTTAATTTGACAGGCAATTATGCTGCAATATGAATCATCATACCCTGATGCAGCTATATATTGTGACAAAATGTAAGAGAATATATTTGTAACTTTGTTCAAAATTAATTTATGTTGTACTTATGAATTCTTCATGCACACAGTTAATCATGTTTCACAGGTAAGATTGTCACAGCTTGCGTAGAGCATCAAGCAGGATCTGCATTTCTTGGTGTATATTGTCCACCAGTCCTTCAATCTGAGGCTTAGAATCTAGTAGCTCGATGCTCTGAGTGTAAGGATTGTAGCGGACTCCAAAGTGACGAGGGATTGTATGGGCGTATTTTCTGAAAACAAGATATGTTTATATATATTATTTTGTTCACATGTTTCTTAATTCCTGCATTAATTACTAAGGGTTTGGATAGTTCTATCATTAAAGTCACTAACTAAGGGTTTGATGACCAGGATTCAGTTCCTTGCAGGCAATGAATCATTACTCTTGCTGCAGTGAAGACTAGTTCTGAGGCCCACAGATGTATCCAATAGATACTAGGAGCTCTTTCCTCAGGAGTAAAATGACAAGAACCTCCATCTGGTGGCAGTATTAAATATGTGTGTAGTTTAACATGTACACCTTTCATGTCAATGAGAACTATTTTCCGTACTAGTATATTTCTGTTCTGTGTCATAACATTTGTTGTGCTTACAAGGTTTATGGACTTAGTGAAATAATATATTAAGGAAGAATTATGAATTTTGCTATGGGCAGACTTTCATTCGTTACTGACTACTGGCAAAGAGGATGCACAAAATTGTGGAAGCTGTCACCATTGCCAATTTCAGATAAAGGTACCTGCCTATTCTGTGAGTTGCATCAGATAAAGTTGGTCCTTAGGTATTAAATGAGATGTTCAGAGATGTTTCCTTCAATGTCTGGCTAAAAGATGTATATTTCAGAAGCTTATTATTTCTGTTCTGAAGTAAAAAGGAAAGGCATGTTCTCTGTTGGACTCATTATGTCATGCAAGTCTTATCACTAGACACAGACGCGAGATCTCTGGGTGTAAGTGGTGTTGAATCTTCAAGCGAAACAACTTTACATTTAGGCCACTTCTGAATCTAGGCTTTATTTAGAGTTACTAACCCTAACATTGGTCTCTGACATTAAGGGAGGAAGATAGACTGAGAGTGTTTGAGAACAGGGTGTTGAGGAGAATATTTGGACTGAAGAGAGATGAAGTGACAGGAGGTTGGAGAAAACTGCATAATGAGGAGCTTCAAAACTTGTACTCTTCTCCAAGTATAATTAGAATGATCAAGTCAAGGAGGATGAGGTGGGCAGGTCATGTAGCATGAATGGGGGAGATGAGGAATGCATATAGGATATTGGTGGGAAAGCCAGAAGGAAAGAGACCACAGGGAAGACCAAGGCGTAGGTGGGTGGACAATATTAGAATGGATCTTAGAGAGATAGGATGGGATGGTATGGATTGGAGAGATCTGGCTCAGGATAGGGACCAGTGGAGGGTTTTTGCGAACATGGTAATGAACCTTCAGGTTCCATAAGATGCTGGGAAATTCTTGAGTAGCTGCAGAATTGGTGGCTCCTCCAGAAGGGCTCAGCTCCATGAGGAATTAAGTAACCCTAGCATAATTACACTAACATGTTTAAGCTTCCTTACTTTTACCCACAACAATCTTTGGAGTGTATTAACTGTTATTAACTCCAATTGGTTATTGGTTGACCCCTGTGGGCTCTACTACTAGAGTGTTTGTAATAGTTTTCATGTCAAAAAGAAGCTAGTAATATCCTTACATCATCTTCTCTTTGGCATCTTCAAAGCTTTCAGCTACGAAGTATATAGGCTGGTATTCAGTGATGGGATACTTCTGAACTGCTGTTTTGAAAGGCTCAAATGGTTTTAATTCAGGTTTGCCACTCAAACTATATTGTAGCTCGCCAAATGAAGACAGCAGACCTGCTCCAAATGCTTTGAGTTGTCCATCTTGTCTGCATAGACCAAACTCCACCGTAAACCAGAAGCACTACAATATAAAAAAATCAACAGATTTAATATATGTGGGATTAGGATAAAATTGAGAGATACCAGGGCACCAAATTCTCAGCACTAGTGTTCATTTTAATAGAAACCCACTGTAAACAGACACATTATTTGCATAATCACAGGCAGAGATATAATAATAAAAAACATTATCAATCTGACAGTAACTAAGAGTAGTAATTAGTTAAGTTTTATTAATGGGTGATTTATTTCACACAGAGGCAATTAACACAATACACACAAATCTGGTATTGTATGGGTTGTTGCAATTTTCCATTTGGTACGTAACTATGTGGAGCACGTGATAGCATAGTTTGTTGAGGCACTATACTAGACGCCGGAAGGCCACACGTTTGATCCCCCCCTGAAACCCTATTGACCATTTCAATGGACTTCTCATGGCATGCCCATAATAGATGGCACTGAATGTTCAATTTCGCCATATAGTTATATTTACTCATAGATAGCAGCTTTACAGAAAGAAACAGACTGAAACAGACACACACATACACGTGCAGAATCACGAAGATCATGTGCTGGTACTTATTTAAACAGATAACAAGTTAGTGGACTTGTGTAAGATGTATTTTTGTGGTATGCTATAATTTTACTTTATGGAAACTGTCTAATTATTTAGTATTTAGTAATTATTGCATAAACTGCTGAACGTACAGAATATTCCGAAAACATAGATCCCCTAATCACGGAATACAAAGCAGACTAACCTCTGTGCGTATTCAGAATGACGGCTAGGTATATTAACAGGGAAAGCAACCTAAATGTGGTATGTCACTGTGCTGTTAAATGTACAAAAATATAGAAAAACTCAACAGAAAACACATTACCGTGACTAATATGGTGTAGGAAAACCTCTGGCCTGCAGAACTGCTTGCAGTCTCCTTGGAATGGATAAATAGAGGTCCTGTATGATTTGTAAGGGAATCTTGTACCATTCTTCCAGCAAAACATTGGCAAGTTCTGTTAACAATGATGGAGGTGGATAGTGCGCACACAGATTGCTCTCCAAAACAGACCACAAAGGCTCAATAATATTGATATCTGGCGACTGTGGAGGCCATGGCAGACGTGACACTTCATCTTTGTTCTCAGAAAACCAGTCCTGGATGATGTGAGCTATGTGAACACGGGCATTGTCGTCTCGGTAAATGGCATCACTATTGGGGAACAAATTTTGCACCATGGGATGGACCTGGTCGCCCAAAATGGTCACATAGTCGTTGGCAGTAACGTGACCTTGCAGGGTAATGTTGGGTCCGACAGACTACCATGATATGGCTGCCCATACCGCCCATACCATGATCGAACCCCCGCCATATTTCACTCTTGGCAGCAAACAATCTGAATCGTAAGCTTGGGATGGTGTTCTCCAGAAACAGTGTGGAGGTGGACTCATCCGACCAAATGACAGTCTTCCATTGCTCCATAGCCCAGGTTTTATGACTTCGGCACCACACTCTCCTCTTAGTGGCATTTTGATCACTGATGTGTGGCTTTGGAATTGCAGTTCGTCAAGAAGTACCCTGCTTGTGGAGTTCCCTTTGTACTGTTTTG